ATTTAAAATTAGTGGTGTTAATTGTTGCACATTCCACCTGCATATGCCATCTTTCTTTTTTCTTTATCTCCTTTTCATAAGAACTGTTGGCTTATTTACTCTGCTTCACAGTCTAGGATTGCCATTGCAGGTCTGGACACTATCAATTTCACATGTATAGGTTGAAGCCCTCTTATCTGATAGTGATTGATAATTGAAAAAACACTGCCTTAAATATTTTTGTTTTAAAGTGTAAATATACATTCCTTTATGTTTTTATTAATATAATTAAGTCTGCGGATAGGTTAGGAACATTTTCTTTTTATAGCACACTCACAATAAACCTCCTACATAAAAAATAAATAAACCTCCTAAATGTTGCTAGATTATTAGTTTCCCTTAAGCTCTTATTGTCATCTCTCTTATATTAATTCACAAAGTTTTAAATTAGCAATTCACTGTACAACACATTTCACTTACTTGTTCTGGAAAAATCATCTCTTTTCATTGTTTATTTTATTAACTTCCATATTGTCTAGTTAAATTATATAGTTGCAATTATTGGTGCACTGGCAGGATCTCTCAGAGAAGAAACAGAACTTCTTTGAAATCCACTACAACTGTGTTAGTGAGAGGAGATGATCACCCTGGATGTCCAGGCACCTTCCTCAAGGTACTAGCCAATGAATGAAGGGCTCTTGTCAGTCCAGTTTGTTGAGTAAGTGGAAGACAATCAATAGGGCTCCAGGGGCTGGGGAGATAGCTCAGTAGAATAAGCACTTGCCTGACAATCGCAAGGGCCTGAGTTCAGTCCCTGGTCCCACAAAAAAAGAGGCTCCTGATGTATACATGTGTGGTTCCCAAGCTTTATTGTTATTTCCAAGGACTGTGTCAACCTTCATACCACCACCCAGAGTTGCAAACACAAGTTGAACTTCATCTAAGCATGAATAACTACTTATTTAAATAACTGTAGACATTTTACTGTCTTCACAAGCCATTTAGCTGTCATTTCACTAACCATAGACAAATGTTTTTATATTTCTAGATGTATTTTTAAGCAACAGTGTACATGATATTGGGCATTTTTAGGGACTGTCATTCAAGTTCATAAAGTGTACCAAGCTTCAAGGACACAGGACATAAATTCTTCTGCCCTTCTGATCGCTGCATTAATTTAGCAAAACTAAATCTATCAGTCTCCTTTTTAAGCACATCCTGTAGCACTTAATATTTTAAATAGCCCTCTTAAATTTCCACTAAATGCAGTCAGTCTCCCCAGATTATTTTCTCAACTCAAATTGTAGCCTATTTATTTAATCCTGATACCCTAATTATATATTTACAACATTTACTTCAACAGACTGGAGGTGATAGACATTTTGAAAAAGACAATTAACATGTTTATCACTTCCTGCCATCTGTAGTTAGCTGGTGCCATTCTAGTTTTATAAGCAAGATAAAATTGAGGCAATAAAGTCAGAAAGCATTTTTAGACTTTCTCTACCTTACAAATCATTATGCATTGAACAGATATTTTTTTTTGTTTTGTCATTTCTTTTTCTCTAGTGATTTGTTGTTACATTTTTGTTTTTCTCATTAACATCACTTTTGGGATGGGTAGGAGGAAAGGATGAAGATAAAATTCAAATGAGATCATTTGGCTGGTTGCTCATTGATTAAAGCAGAGTCCTAAGAGGCTAGTTTTGTGAGCTGGATTCTCTCCCTAGTCCACTTTGCTCTGGACAAATGAAACTTACTTAAAAATCTTCTGCCAGCTGTTTTCCACTTGTGGCCCACAGGATCAGGCTAGGGAGTAGAGATGACTCAGGAAAATACTGCCTCACCTCAAGAAAAACAAGTAGACATGAAGGCCACTCTCACCCCTAGAATTATAGAGCTTTTCACTTGTTGACTTCTGGGACTAAAAGTTTCTCAGTAAACGAAGCTGCAACTACAGGTTTTTAAAATCACTTATAAATTTTTCTGCTTTATCCTCTACAGTGTCCTATTAACCAAAATCAATTCTGAACTCCTGCAGAGAATGGTATTTACTTTTGTAAATGGTGAAAAAAATTAAAAATAGTATTGCATGATAAATTAAAAATACATAAATTCCCGTAAAGCATTATGCTACAGTCACTCATTTGTTGACCTATTGCTTCTGTGCTACCGTGGCAGAACAGAATAGTTGTGAAGGAAACGACATGGCCTACTGAGAAGAAAATCTTTGCTCTCTGGACCTTTACAAAAAGTCTGTTTTGCCCTGCTTTTTCTTATTCTTTACGAGAGATTTCTGCAACCCTTACCATGTTAGAATCCATGAATTTTCTGTATTGTTTTCCCTTTGTTCAGATTAGTTTTTGCTCTCAAAATCATAAATCATAGGGACTACCTGAATAAACATGTTTTTTTCTCTGTCCTTATAAAGTATTATGTGCTTCTCAGAAGTTTCAAAAAACCATAAAATCAAATAATATCTCATCACTTCCTCATGGTTAATATAGTTTAATATGTGTCCACAAGGATTTATGATATTACGTTTTCAGTACTATGTTGAATGCTAAAATACATGCACTTTGCTTTTGAAATGCTACTCAGTGAAAGAGGAATAAAGCCCATTTATGCTATATCAGGAATGAAGTGGTTTTTTTAAATTTTATTGAGAAGCAAATAGCAATGAGACAGTTTCAAAACAGGTTAGTAGGACAGTTACGATAATACATTGCATATTGTTGTCTTAGTAGTAGTTATTCATAGTACAAGATGCAGACATGATATCTGGTCCAAACACTATTAGTACAAATCTTTTTTCTTATTGAATTAAGAGAAAGTAGCTGTATATCTATCCTAACTATTTTGTATATATAGATACAAAATGGTCCTTCATTTATATCCCCTTTTTTGTTTAATTTTGTCAGAGATGAGTATTCCATTGTCATTTAAATAGTGTAGGTGCGTGAATTCAGCAAAATAATCCAATACGGTCCCGTAGCCCATAACAGTAGTGGGTTATCCATAAGACTGGCAATGTCAGAAGTTGTTGACTTGAGCCTTTTACAGCTCAGCATAATAATGTGGCTTTACTTTTTATACCTCATTTTTATACTTTTCTGCTAGATGGTTAAGACCAAGATAAAGCAAGAACTATATAACAAGAAATGTAACTTTTGTATCTGCCAAGGTCAGTCAAATCCCCTCAGGATTTACCCTGAAACCCTGTACCACAGTTTGTAGATCGTTTGTCAGTGTCAGCCATGTAGATGGGTCACGGCCAGTGCTTGACCAACTTGCTTTCTAAGAAAGCCTGAGAGAATGTTTTCTTAGAATGAGTTTAAAATACTGTTATTTCCAGAATAAAATTTTCAGGCATTTGAACATTTTTTAGGAAAATGTAAAGAATGATATGAATAAAAAGCTCTGTGTATGGCCTTCTAGCCCTAAGCAGATGTTACCAACAAATCATCTACCCAATGCAAAAAATGGATTGTGCAAGAAGGTGGCCTTGTTAGGGGTCACAAAGTTCATGACCAAGATCACTACAGAAGCAGGATAGAAAGAACCCAAACACAAATGGTCTCAACAATGGATATCCCCGGGTTGTACCTGGGATGCTCCACATCACCCATCATTGACATTGGGATTGAGGAGGTGAAAAGAGAGGCAGTTTCACCAACTTTGGGTTTTCACATGTTCTGATGCAAGGAGTTTATATGGGAGGTGATCCCAAGGAACAGGAGCCAATAGGTCAGACAGGAATTGAGGTAGACAATGCAGGAGCATCATCAAGGACACTCCCATGATAGGCATCTTTTTTTTAAAAAATTTATTTATATGTGGGGGGGGCAGCTCAGCCCACCAGGGGGCGGGGCTGGCTGGCATGCGGTGCTGGGAGATTGAACCGTGGTCCCTGATACTTTGCTAAGCTTGTTCTAAATAGGTGCTTTAGACCACTGAGCCATCTCACCAGCCCCCCATGACAGGCATCTTGGCATATTCTTACCTGGGAAGCCCAGGAACAGGCCCCTCCCACGGGCCTCTCCAGTACCTTATTCAAGTCAGGTAGCTTCCAAGATGTTAATTCTCCAGTCATTCATTTCATCCTCCCTGATGGAGGCAAAGCAGCTTCCCCAGTGTCAGAAAAAATGGCACAGATTCCAGCAGCTGAAAGTTGGTCAGTGGCCACTAAGGACATTAGGACCCACTGACACAGAAAGAACACTAACAGCATATGCTACAAGTCTTCTGCCACAGAGTCTTTCTCTGAAACCCAAGGCTGCTTCTAGAAGGATGGGAAGAGTCAGAGGGCAATCTGTTCCCTCCAACCTGCCATTCTTGGCTCTTTGGCTGCTCAGTTGGCTAAGGGATTTTGATTTGAAAAGACAAGATGGTGTGGCTTCTTGCTGTCACTGGACAAAGACTATAAGGAGCAGCATGGAAATGCATTAGGAGCCTTTCATTCTGGTCCCAGGTCTACTGATGCACATTCTTTTAGATGTCACATTGTTCATCTATAAAATGTGGATCAAATGATTCTCCAGCATCCATCAACTAGCCTCTATAACTAATACACACACAACCCTTAGAATAGGAGAAAACGAACTGTAAGGTATCTCAGATGCATCTGGGACTTCCAATCCAACCCCATCTACCTCCTAAGAGACAGAAAGGTTTGCAGTCCTACTATAGCCTGCTATAACTTCATCCCTGTGTCAGTATGGAGGCTTCCAGCCTCTTAGCGAGGTGTCACCACACATAATTGTGCACCTTTTGTCTGTACACAAGATGCTGTGAAATGGCTGTGTCACCACTACTATTATGCTCTCCTTCACTGAACATTCTGGAAGCTGTGAATCAGCCTGCCCTGGGTATATATGTGCTAGAACGTGAGAGGGCTGTTGTGGGAGAGAAGGAGGCATAGTACTCAATGATACAGTAAAGTGATTTCAATATACCTTTTTCCCGTTCAATGCTAGAGACCAAATTGAGATTGAAGGCAAAATGACATATTCCTAACTTACCTATGTACAAATCTCCAGATATGGTATAAATGAAGCTTGTCCATCCTGGAAAGGAACAAGCAACAGAAAAAGTTAGTGTCCATAACAACGGAATTGTATATGAAATTTATTATTTTCCTCCCAAGGCCCTTATTATTTCCTTTTTGACATATGTTTCAAGTTTCTGGTTTTATGAGTTGTTTAAAATGCACACACACACACACACACACACACACACACACACACACACACGAGTGCACGCACACTCTCCACAAATACAGATGTATACACACGTACATAAATGCATTCCTAAACCTAAAATCTTGGCTTCAATATTTAAGAGCCAGCCATTCATAGCAGAAGTGTCCAATTTATTTAGCCATACATCTACATGCCAAATTTTGTTTTAACAAATTATTCCTTCTACTTCTAACATCATGCTATGAATTCTAACACTCCAGTCTGGGTTTGCCTTCAGTTTGTTGTGTCTCCATGTACTCTGAAGTGTGAATAATACCACAAATATGATGTTTTATATTTAATTAAACTCTACTGTCCAAGAAGCTTTTTCCTTTGTATCTATCCTAAAATAGAGTATGCATCAATTCCCTGGATACAAGGATACAAAAGCCTTTGGGGGATTAATGGGATACAGATGGCCTGTGAATTCCCTGGAATTGTCCACACAGATTTTCAAGTATGTGCGTTTGTCTGAGCAGAAGGTACCTAGAATTCACTAGATTGCTGGCATAACCCATGGGGCAAAGAGCTTGGATCCAGTGGCAATCTGTCTTTTGCACTCTCAGCACCAGCATCTGATTTTCATGAATGTGTGGTACTAAACCCATGGCTCAGAAGAGATAGTGTGTTTCCACTAAGAGACATCAATCAAAAATGGGAAAGCCCAAATCGGAATTAAGGTACCACTCCATGTGTCTTCAGTGGAAAAGACAATCTTTAAAGTAAATGCAGGGCAGAGGTCACAGCTGGAAGGACAAGGCCCAGACTGGAGTCTCTATGAAGGTCAACAACGTGGTGACAGAATAAACAAAAGCAAGCACAGAGAAGAAAGGAGGACAAAGTATACTCCAAGGATGACTATAATGATGGTTGAGCTGAAATATCCAAGTATGGTGCAAAACAATAGCCATGCCTCATAACATATTAACCTAAATTGAGTCTCATTAAGAAAATCTGAAGGTTCAAGGTTGTATATGGTGAGATTTTTGGACTTATGTACAAACATGAGAAGTATATAATTCTTTATCCTATTTTTAAAATATAATCTAATTTTTAAATGTTTTTTTGATCATATTATGTAGTGACTTAAAGTTCAACATATCAATACTTGATGAAAAATACCTGCTCCTTATGATGCCTAAGATGTTTGAAATGCAGAGAGATAGTGAGGTTAAGCTTAATAGCCTAAGTCGTTTGATAATAACAATAAGCTTGTCTTCTGGATGGTTAACAACCTAAGTTTGCAGACCAAAATTAGAGAAAAATGAGGGCTGCAAGGAAAGCCAACATTTTGGCCCTAGCCTTCTAAGGTCAATTATGACTCAGGACATATGAGAACTTGTACTGTAACGTCATGTACCTCGGTAGTGACCCAAATTTTCTGATCAAGGAGATTATGGGGCCAAAGAGGAAAGTGATCGATGATGTAGAGTGTGCCTAAGGAGAGTCACATGGAGAGAAAACACTCTCTTGGGCTTTCACAGAGAGCACATTGGCCAAGCAATGGCCGTGACTCATCCACATGGCTGACACTGACAAAAGTTCTACAATTTGAGGTACAGGATCTCAGGATAAATCCTGAGGGGATTTCACTGACCTTATCAGACCCAAAAGCTACAACTCTTGTTGCATAGGTCCTGCTTTACCTTAGTCTTAACCATCCAGTAGAAAAGTATGAAGACGAAATATAGGAAGTAAAGCCATGATGTTATGTTGAGCTGTGGGGAACTCAGGTCAATAATTTCTGACATTGCCAGTTAAACAGAAGACCCACTGCAATTATGGCCTCTGGACTCTTTTAGAATATTTTGCTGAGTTTACACACCTATAATATTCAAATAACGGAACTTAGAAAAAAAGGGGATACAGATGAATGTCCATTTTGTATCTGTGTATTCAAAGTGGATGGGATAGATATATAGTTACATTCTGTTAATGAATAGAATGATTTGTTCTAACGGTGTTTGTAAATAGGATATCAAGTCCACATCTTGTACAGCAATTAACCACTAGGAAGAATGTATGCAGTATGTTAGTTATTGAAACTGTCCTAGTGATTTGATTTGAAACTGTCTCATTGCTATCTGTTTATCAATAAAATTACGGAAAAAAAAGAAAATCTGAAGGATGACCAGCCAAATACATTTGGGGAGGTGCCAGAGGATATATTTCCTCCTGTTCAGTTGTTTTCACTCTGAGAGTTTACTATAATAAATTTACTCCCTCTGGAAGAAATGCTATTTGCTCATTGGACACAAGATTTTTCTCTCTCTTAGTTTCTCATAGTTGATGGAATATCTTCCACGGACATGCACTTTGGTAGGAGGAGTTATCAAATCCAGTAAGGCACAGGCAGGGCTGTTCAGATTGCACAAGTTTGGACAAGAGGCCAGAGGTTCACAGTAGAGGCTGAAAACGCATGCCAATAATTCATAGCATCATTTTCTAAGTCTGCTCTAGATGGACCCACTCTCCCAGGGCACTGCTTTCTCTGTGTTCTAAAGGATGCTCACCTTTCCTACTTCCATTTAGACTGTCTTATAATGATACAGTACAACAAAACTCTTTTCTTCACTTTTTAAAAGTTCTGCCATTGAAATTTCTTGGAATTTCTTTCTCAAAGTTCAAGTGGCTTTTTTTTTCTGATTAAGAAAGACATTATTTTACAGAGAAGAAAACACAGAATACCTAAACTGGAAATCTTTTTGCCATCCTCGTATCTACCCTCACTTAAGCATTATTAACAATTTTGTGTTTGTGCTTTCAGATTCTTTTTTCCTTTTATGCCTTATAAAATCTGTGCTTAAAAATTAGAGAAAATTCAACGTTCTGCTTCTAATACCCTTCTATGTACAAACCACAGAGCAGAAACTCTTCCTTGAGAAAGACTGTACAGCACTCCACTGTAAACACGTTGGGTAATTTATAGAGCCAATTTCCTCCTCTTGGCTGCATGGTATTAAAAAAATATTATTTTGCATTTGATGAAGACAAACAACTCTCAAGTGCTCAGAAGAGTTTTTCTTTGGGTCATTTCAATTGTTCTGGTCTCATTTCTCCTCTATTTCATTTGCTTCCTGCTTATTCTCTAAGCAGAAAACTAGTCCATACAGAATTTCCCAGGGCTATTATTTTTCTTTCTATAATCTTATTACATGGCCAGATGGACTAACCATTGGCTAAAGGAATGGTCAGGCCAGTTTTTTTAAATGCATTCACCTATTTCTGCTTCTTGTCAAAGTGCATTTGTGTTTACCAGTTCGAACACAATTCATGTTGCTGATGGGAAGCAAAGTGTTAAAAATAATAAAATAGAAACATTGTGAAATTTTCTTTATACCCTCTCTTCAGCATGATGTTCACATGCTTCTAGTAAACCTTATTTAATTTCCATTAAGGGCTGCTTCTTAAGACTACTTCAAGGTCATTACTTATAGACTGGAAATCGGAAACATTTCTCTTTCCCATCTTGCAAGATGGTGGGAGAAAAAACTGAGAAGTCAGACACTAAAAAGAAGAAATCCAAAGCCAAGAAGGCTTCTGCCAGGGGTACTGGTAAAAATGGTAAGGTGAAGACAAAAAAAGTCCAAGAAGGGGCAGCCCCACTGCAGGTGAAATCCTGTCCTGGTTAGAGGAATTGGCAGATACTCCCAATCTACTATGTATTCCAGAAAGTCATTGTACAAGAGAAAGTACACAGCTGCTAAATCAAAGGTTGAGAAGAAAAAGGAGAAAGTTCTTACTACAATCACAAAACCAGTCGGTGGTGACAAGAATGGAGGTACCCAGGCCATTAAGCTTCGAAAAATGCCTAAATACTACCTTACTGAAGATGTGCCCCGAAAGCTCTTGAGCCACGGCAAGAAACCCTTCAGTCAGCATGTGAGGAAACTTCAAGCCAGCATCACTCCCGGCACCATCTTGATCATCCTCACCGGGCATCACAGAGGCAAGAGAGTGGTCTTCCTGAAGCAGTTGGCCAGTGGCTTGCTACTTATGACTAGGACTCCTAGCTTTATTGCTGTTCCTCTATGAAGAGCACACCAGAAATTTGTTATTGCTACCTCTACAAAAATTGATATCAGCAAAGTAAAATTCCCCAAACACCTCAATGAAGCTCACTTCAAGAAGAAGAAGCTGTGGAAACCCAGACACCAGGAGGGCAAGATCTTCGACACCGAGAAAGACAGATACCAGATTTTAGAGCAGTGCAACATGGATCAGAAAGCACTGGACTCACAGATTTTTTTTTTTGGAGCTGGGGATTGAACTCAGGCCCTTGTGCTTGCCAGGGAAGCACTTATTCTACTGAGCTATCTCCCCGGCCCTCCAGTACTCACAGATTTTAGCAAAAATCAAAGCTGTTTTTCAGCTCTGGGGCTACCTGAAATCCATTTTTGCTCTGATAAATGGAATTTATCCTCATAAATTAGTGTTCTAAATTTCTTACTAAGAACCTAATTAAATAACTGATACATTAAAAAAAGACTACCTCAGAAAACTACAAGTGCCAAATTGTGTGAATGAGCGATATATGTTTAAGAACTACTTCACTGCTAAGATCGCGACTGCATCAATAAAGAGCTGTCCTGTGAAAATTTCAGGTCTCTGTCATCTTTATTATCTCAACTCTCCTTCCACTCATATGTCCTGCACCAGGAATTTAAGTCATTCTTAAATTTTTCTTGTTTTGTCAGAGTCACATGCCCTACATTTTCCTTTCTTCTACAAGTATGGCTGCCAAGCTACTGTCAGTTTGCAGCTGAGAAGCTCTTTCCTGTTCTTGGGTAATAATAAATGAGTTGGGAGGGAGGTTATATTTTTTT